GGTCAAGTCCGTTTACAGATTAATATCCATAGGAAAACAATCCCCGTGGTGCGTGTTTGCACGCGCGACAACGATCAAAAGCGGACGCGTGGTGAATCGCGTGCGATTTCCGATCGCAGTCACGGTGCAACGCCGGTCTCGCGACTCGTATCGGTGACTGTGTTTCTGAATCAGTCGCGCGAATCCTCTTCCCGCGATTGTTATAGTCAATTGGTTCCGTGTTCTGTTGCGTGTGTCAGTGGTGTGGGTGGTTTCGTGTGATCCGACACACCGTTTCGCGGCCGGCCATGGAACCGCGGAGGTTCCGGATACCGGAGGCTAGCTGACGGGTCCGCTGCCGCGATCGGATGTCCGCGCGGGAGGGTAGGAGGTACCACGAGCCGCTGGATGAAAGTGAAAACGAATCGGACCGCGACACGGGGGGATGAACGAATGAGGATACATTGCGTGGAGAACGTCCGATCGTGTGGGATACAGACCCCGTAAGTGGATTTCCTGTACACTTCCCTTCTGTTCTTTTTTCCTTCCTTTTTTTTTTTGTTTTTGTTTGAACGAGAAATAACAATGATTTGTCTCTCGTATATTTGTTTTTCAAGTAGAGAATGTTCGTGTTAAGAGAAACGAACGAGGTAGAAGTAGAAAATTCTTAAACAGAGTAGACAATGCTTAATTTTGCTCCTGTTTCATGCTTTGATTTACATGTCAGAGATTTGAGATAGTAGTTAGGAAAAAGTCAGAAACGTTTACTTCCGTGTTCATGCGTAGTTGCGTCAATAGATTCGAACCGGACTCGACCTAATTAATTTTGTTTCCTGCCGCTATCGTCAGCTCTTAGAACGTTTTGTGTCTGATAGCGTATAAAGGTCGGCGGAAAGTGGCAAATAGGTTGCGTGCAGCCACCGTAGGCTTGTTTTCATGCCACGCGTTAGATAAAGCAACGAAACGAGCTATGGACGCAAAAAGCCAATGAACTGCCGTTGAGCATGAACGCGGATGGAAATACCTGCCTTTCCCGGCACGCGATATAAGTGACGGAAAATCGTTGCTGCGGATCGCTGGCAAACGTATGCTTCAACAATTGTACAACTTTGCCCACGGAATCTATGTATCGATTGCCATACTTATAGCTTATTTAAAATTGTTTCACGTAATGCTACGTTGTAATTCAATACTGAAACGATAAGACTTTTCCAACCTGCTAAACAGCAGACTCCTTTCTTTCAAGCTCTTACAATTCCCGCGCAATTTACAAAGAGAAATAAAGTCTGTTGAAAAGAATGTAAGAAATGGAATTTGTAAAATCGTTTCATCAAAGGTAACCGAGAGGAAGAAATCGTACAAACGCGCAGTAGATCCGCACGGCAATTCTCCCAGTTATTTCCGGCTTTTCCCAACAGAGAAAAAAAATACAGCCAGCATCTTACCCCACGTTATCTCTCCCCTGGTCCGTAGCAATATCGTGACGTGTACGGGGAGTCATTTGATGGAGAAATATTCGACGCCACGCACGCTGGCCATAAAACGTTCGAGGAACGAGAGGGTCCGACGCGGCATGGCGTTCTGAGTCTGATCCCGAACAGGAAGAATGTTCATTGACGTTCAGGCTTACAAGATCCTGGCGAAGTGGCGTCTTACTGGCCCGCGACTGGATCGCGCACAGAAAGACAAATGTTCCCTGAAGGTACGACCAACTGAACGTTTTCGATTCCCCTCTTTGAATTTTACTTGCAAAGTACTTCCATTTTCACAGCAGACGTCTGCCTCCGAGTGATATATTAGCGAGAGAAGCTTGCGGTGAAAATTCGTTATTCTTAGCTATCGAAACTACGATAATAATGTCGAAATTCGTACGTTGGTCGAATAACCGAGCAGTAATTGCACCGAATACGATAGCTAAGTGTAAGGGAAGCTCGAGTCTCTCCTGGCAGTCGAGTTCAGACGAAAAGGGAGTAAGGTTTCGTGCACTTGGAAGGTCTATCGAGAACAGAATTTCGCAAGGCTAGACGTAGGTCCAGGCTAACGTGCATAGCATGGTGCAAGAAAGTTGCACGTAGAATATCTTGTTACCGTTTTAACTAGAAGCTTCGCGTTAAGCTCTCTTTTAACATTTTGAAATAACAAGATTAAACGACTAAATATACAAGTTCCATGTTCGAGTCGCGCGATGTCATCTCAATCAGGCCGATCAAGTCGAAGTTAATTAAACGAGGCGACGGAGGAAAAAATGCTCGTTCGCGTGAACGAGATTTTTCCACGCGTTCGATCCCGTGGGGTGCCGCGAGACCGACATTTTCTAGTTTTAATTAAAGTCAGCCAGTCGGAGTCGCAGCTAAGGCAATTAAGTCGAAGACAAACCGGAGGCTCCATTGAATTTCCTAGCTTTCGTAATTAGTTTCGACGTAACTGAATCCAGTTACCAGACGCCCGATAATCACGCCTATCCACGACACCTTCTTCTATTCGTCTGACGATCGAGACTTCGAAGGCTACCCTTCGAAATCCTCGAAAATTAATGTAAGAAGTGGGAAGTTCGATCGACGGACGATCGTTTATTGCTTTCAGGCAACGGAGAACTTTTCAAACCCTTCGAATGGAACAAGCAAAGTACTCCAAGTACATTCCCGATCACAATTCACAGGATACTTGTTAATTTTAAACACACGTTTCGATGAATATGTCTATAATAATATTCCCAAAACATAGTGTAATTAGACTGGAAATTTTTACGCATTCGTATAAATTCGAAAATGGAAAAATGAAATAAAAACACATAGTATGCAAAAATATCTGTATAAAGTACGCGAGGTATTCGTTGGCAATAGCGTTTATGAGGTCAAATCTGGAGGAGAAGGAAAGAGGGTAGAATAAAGGTGGAGACCCGGAGAAGTAGGAATTATATTCATAAAAATACGAATTTGCATAAATATTCGCGGAATACTTACGGTACCTGCACGTAATTACTATGCCTCGATTTCATATTTTAATTCCAACGTCCGTTTATGCCTATCCTAAATGCACCAATCGCTCCGTGATTTATTGACTTACGGTAGGGTATTTTTATTCGTTCGCTCTCGAAGAACGGGGCTATTTTCTGTTCAACGGCGTTTCGTTGTCCTCGTGGCCGTTTCCAGCGAAAGTAGCACGGACGACAGCGGGGGAAATAGGGGTGAAATTTTAATTCGCGCGGACGTTTGATATTCAGAGATCCGGACTCGGTATTCACGGACTCACGTACGACCACTCGGCAGCCCTTCTTTCATCAGGGCATTTTTGTTTCGCGCCAATGACGAACGACGACGTACTCTTGTTCTTTCGCATGCTCGTTCCGCGGAAACGAGCGACAGACAAAGACGGACATAGGGACGATGACAGCGAGGATAGAGCGAGCGTAAAGAAAAAAAAGCGCGGAAAGGGCGGAAGATGATAGAACGAGACGACGATCTGTCATTCAAGGACGATTCTTTCAGGCTGCAAACTCGCTGGATTGTGTGTGCAGGGCCACCCTCTTTAGAATTCCCCGTCTGTGGAGCAAGAAGCTCGTAAAAGACAAAGGGGGTTGGTAGCACAGGGGTGGAGAGAAGGCGCTGCGCAAGGGAGACACAGGGGAGGGACGGAGTGGAGACAGGAAGAGGCGAGGAGGAACGAGAAAGGAAATAAGAAAGATGGGAGAGAGCTCGCCGGATCTCAGCCTCCGGCTCCGCCGAGGCAGTTCCGACTCTAGGGATTCCTTCTACATGGACTTTGCCCAGGTACCAATTCCAACACGATACATTGATAATCCTTGATAGATATTTTCTATCCTTGGATAGGACAAATTTATATTAATATCTATTCGCGGTCTCTTTGTCGGTAGAAAGTCTTCCCGTTACCTTTATCCACGGCGAACTTGCTGATATCTTTAAGGAAAAGAAAGGGGATAGGATAAATGAAAGCAGAGTGGAGAAGCAAACTCTAACGAGTTAGATATCAGTTCGATAACAGCGTGACTCTGAAAGAAAATTGCGAAACGCATTGACTACTCGTTACATGAAATATACTTTCAAAATTACTCTGCATCTATAGTTGAATAAAGGGTTTCATAAACGCGAAAGAAAGTCAGTCTTATACGAGAACGATACGTAAAGGGAATAATAAGAATAAGAAGTATCGGGACATATCTTTATCTTGTAGCGACACTCGACAGCAAACTTTCCAACGGTTTGTGTCCCGTGACTTGCTACACAAAGACCCTATCGTCGACTGGACGACGCCAAAATAGTGGTTAACGCAGTTGGCTATGAACGTTCCAGACCAAGTTCGAATCCCGACACTCACAGTCCGATTATTTTTCCACAATTTCTAACTGAAAGAAGGCAACGCAAATGAAGACGAAAGTCTTATACACCAGCAGTGCCGGTCAGGATCTATCCACCTCATTCTTTTTAAGAACGCGTCTCAAACCTGAAAGCTTTAATTCTAACAATTTTTCTAAAGGGGTATTAATTCGTGTGGACAGGGCATCGACTCAGACATCGAGGAGGTAACGCGTCCAGGAGAAAACTCGGACCCGATGATGGACAACCATTTGGAAGAAACTGGGAACGAACTGCCGCTGCTAGAGGACGTGATGATCACGATCCCGGAGGAAGCTTCGGAGGAGCTGCGCGAAGAGGAGGAAGCCGCGGCGATGGAGGCTGCGTTGCGAACACCCGAGGGCCGCCCAATAATTAACACGGAAGCCGAGAAACCAACGCAGCAGCAACTCCCGTCCCAGCTCTCCACGCTTGCCCCGCAAGAGTAAGTACGCGTCGGAAATTCTGAGCAATAAAACAGCGTACATCTCGTTGCGCGATATTTTAACATTAAACCTAGCGACATTTGGTATATACCTATTTCTACCATGTGCGGTCAAAATGACCGGTGATTAAAGAAGTAATAGTTTTATAGCAATGAGCAATAACCCTAAGAAACTTCTCGACTTTTAAAATGTTTGTAACAATGGACTGTAAAAAATGCTAAATTTTGTGGCGGCTCCTTAGGATTATTATGGGCCTGAGTTGATATGTCTTGACAGCTGGTGGGTATCTTGATCGATTGTTTTATGACAAGATTACGGCTGTAACAGTTGTTGTTATTTGTTATTACTGATTTTGTTTGTCATCTGACCTAGAAATAGCCTTTTTTTGTACTGATTGCATTTATTTTAAGAATAACCAATATATTTTGTCGGGCGGTCAAAATGATCGCTCACGGTAGGCAAAGCGGTGTACAAATTTTTCTCAGGAAATAAAAGAGCAAACTAAAATTAAATAGCGAAAAATATATTGTATGCATGTTTTAGGAAAAGTGAGAAATTATGAAGCGATATGATAAAGTTTAAATATGGTTAAATTTGTGTAGAAGTCGCGAGAGCGGTCAATTTGACGGCGCCGGTAGGTTTAGTGTTAATCCGAGTCGAAGAGATCTCGGTTTTAATTGGAATCCCCCCCTTTTTTTTCCTCCACCCTCAGCGAGATCCTTCGTTTTACTTGGGAGACGCGATTTTGATTTGTCCAGTAACGCGATTCCGTTCGTCGCTCGAGGATATTTGCGGTTACGGATTGAAGGATGTTCGGTTAGTAACTGAAGAAGAGAAAGGCAAGTAGATGGTCTGGGTAAATATTAGCGTTCAGGGCGTAAAGAGGTGTTTTATCTACAGAGACTAACAATTTCAAGATGGCAGTGAAAAGATCATATTATGTTCACCTTTCGCTTCTTTTTTCTAATTAGACATCGGGATTTTTTTATTAATACGCTTTGTGTAACTGAGAGGATGGTTAATGCAGTAGCTCAGGGACAAATTCATTTACGATTGTCGGCAACAGGTATTAGGACACTTGATTGTACTAGTGACAATAACAAAACTTGTAGACTAATAATAATAATAATAATATTAGTATAATTGCGTGAAACAGGTGTCGTGATGCTTTTGGCTGAATGTGCCCATTTTTATAACTATATGGGGTCTATCAGAAATAAGCAATTAGATCTGCATTCTTTTACCTAGCCATTTCCCTATCTATGTATGCAGAATAGATATCAGATACAACTTGGAAATTAAATTCGTTTTTTTCGTTACATAACGACGTTGGTCATTCGTATACATCTTGCGAAACGTTCAGACGAAGAAGAAGAACATCGTTGGAACGAGCTATAAAGACATCTTCGCTCGAAAGAAAGGCGATTGAAATAAACCGGCAACGATTAATTTCCGTCTTCGGCGTTAAGCGTCTTTCACCCCCTACATTTTTTGTCAGCAACGTTCTCATCCATTAAAGATGCCTCATACGTCTCTCGCTTGAGTCTCCTCTAGATTTGGCGAGAAACTCGAACCGGGGAAAAAGTGGTTGGTTAAGTAGGTAAACAAAATCTCGTCGTCGGGGTGAACAAAATGCGAGATGAGATAGAAGAAAGTATTTTCAACGCGTCTGGAATACCACGAGGAATACAGCATAATTGCAGGAACGCGTAAGGAAACGACTACGAGCGTGGCAACCGATGGAAATATTAGGCCCGTGACGCGATTACCTCGTGGCAGGAAGTCTGAATTACGATCCGTCTTTGACGGTTTCATTGATCGGATACAAGGGAAGCCACCAATTTCATGAATGACTTCTAAATATTAATAATCTCATCTAAATCTGTAGATGCTTCCTTTACAATTTCGTATCTTTGCTACTGAATATTCTAGACGTTCACGCTTAAAAAGCTTTTAATTTCTACACGTTTCGATATATATTTTTATACGTTAAACGCGATAAGGAACGAAATATGCCGTGCTCGAGATCATATTGAAAAATAATTTATCCTTTTCGTATTGTTCGTACAATTAATAAGAATCGATATGACAAGAATAAAAAATTGTAGGATGATCTTATAGCAACGATACGCAGCGTATTAATAAAAAACATATCTGGTCGTGGATAATACGCGTCGATTAGATTCGCGCATTAGTCGGTGCTACATCATATTTTTCAGAGAATTGATAATGTCACTGATGAAAATCTCTGTAGATTCTTGTAGGTTATCGTCCATTATTTCTCGCTTTGTAGGTCCATACGTAACGTCACTATGTGAATTACCGTCCCCCCTAAGCGGCCACGTTACTCCTCGCCTCTTCATTCGAACGACCACCGCCACTATTCACAGGCATGGAACATTAGTCACTGTCCACGATTAACGCGCATCCCTCGGCTCCCGTGTATCCAGCAGGGAAGCGACCGGCGGCAGTTTGTCCACCATCGACGATTGAACTTGATCGTGAAAAATCGTATTGCGAGCGTCTCCATTTTGCTCCATTAATTTTTACTCGCATGACCGGAAGCACAATTGTGAACACGTTCGCAACCGAGAGAGAACGCTGATCATGTTGAAACCGGGGTAACCTCTATCGGTGACCAAAGTCGTTTACGAGTGGTCGACGGCCCGAAAAGGGGCGAGTTCGAGACGAAACGGAGCGAGCTTTTGATCAAAGCGAAACACTGACCCCAATTTGCAAAATTGCCGCTTCTACCGGATTTAATCTCCGAGTCACCAAGAAACGAGACGTCAAAGGCGTATCGCGGCAAGCAACGATAATCAAACGCGTACGACAGTGCTTTTTCTTCTTCCGAATATTGATCACGGTTAGGCAAATAATTTTCTCGTAATTTCCGTTATGTATTATCTGAAACGCGATCACCGTTGTTGTCTCGCGTGAATCGATTATTTATTCGTTTGGCGACGCGACGAATCGACCGATTAATTGCCGCTCGAACGGCAATTTCCATCCGATCTGCGGCAGCCGATCCGTGGATAGCCGGCCGCCTCCATTTCGTACCGAACTCGATTACTTCCGGCGGATATCGAACGTGAATTCGTGAACGCACGAGTGGCCAACGGCACCGAAGTTAATATTGACCTGTCACTTCGTTATGGCCAACGAACGACCTTCGTGTCGCTTCCATCTCGCTTCCGTCGTTGCATTCTCTTCTCTATCGTTTCTCTCCTCTCCTATCCTCTCCACATACACCCTCCTGCCTCTACGCATCGTCCAACGTTCGTCCCTTTTTCTCTCTCCCTCTGCCGCTACCAGCTCTCTCTTCCTTTCCCGTTTCACCGGAACCTCCGGTGAACCGTCCTCTCCTTCGGTCCGGACGAGAACAGGAAGACTGGCCTATTCCGTCGATTTACATGCAGATTTGATCAGGGTGCACGCGCACTCGGCACCCGACTCCTTTCAAGCAAACTCAGCCAGGGCAAAGGATGAGCGAATCGCTTCCCCCTTTCCTTTTCTTCCTTCTCCTACGAAGATCAAAGTTGCGGAAGTTCGTGATTCGAGGATCCTCGTTGCACGGTCAAGGTACGAACGAGAAGATGCCGGGGATAGAGAGAACCGAATAGGGTGCTAAAGCAATTCGACGCACTCGATCCGATTCGAGAATTTCCAAATTCAAGCCGCTTCGCTGCCGCTGTCTCTCCTTTGTTTCCATTCGACCTTCGTCTCGCAGCTTCCGCCTACTTGTCGGTGCCGTTGCTTTCGTCGTGATTTCTCGAGGCAACTCTTCGACACGCAGAACGAAACTTCGTGGCATAGAACGTGGGCGAGTTCGAGCGGTCCTTCCGCGAACGTTACGCCACTGCGAATCTCATTCGGGTAACGAGCTCGCTATCAAACGGCCGCGTATCCAGAGACGATGGATACAGGCGACGAGTGGGATGGGGAGAGAAAAAGAGGGACAGCGAAAGAGAAGGAGCAAGATTAGCGGAGAGAGAGCCGCGGACTCGCGAGAGTGCAGGGCATCAGTTTGTGATGCGGGGTCCGAGAGTGTCGTGACACGAGCCGCAGGGCCGTGACTGTGCGAACCCGCTGGCGAGTTCAGCAGCTAACATTCCGCCGAGACGGTCGAGGAAACTACCAGCCAAGGTCACGGATATGCTCATCAAGGAGACCTCCCTCAGGTACTACGATTCCACCCTGTCGAGACCACGAATCGATCCGGTTGCTCCTTCCTTCCTCTCTCTCTCTCTCTCTCTCTCTGTACTTCTCACTCCGGACGACTTGTCGGGAATCCTGAAATCGCGCACGCACACTGCCACACGGTCGTCTACGATTTCCGATGGCACGACGACGACAAGGACGTAGTCCTCGTATGTTTCGCATGCTTTCCCGAGGGGGATTTCGATCGATCGTTGAAACGCGTCGAAATGCTCGAGTTGGAAGTTGTTTTGCGGGTAGACCAGGAATTTTGGGTTTCCATTAACGCAGCAGGGAACAACGCATTCGGTGAGAATTACGAGCGAGAAATTAATCTTATTAGTTTGGTAGTGACACTTCGTCGTATCGATCTCGAAAAGATTACAGTCGATCTATGTACGTTATCATTGCCTAACGCGAATACGAAAACGATTTAACGTGAAAGAAACTAGATAACGAAAGTGAGAAGAAACTCGATGGCAAAAAAGCTCTCGACCACGAAACGTTCACTGTATCGAGTCGGGCCAACCACGACCCTCCTCGAACGTCAAAAGCATAATCCCCAGCCGGTCGGAGAGTTCGCAATAATCGTAGAGATAAAAATGCGTGGCGCTTGGCGTTCGCGAAAACAGCTCGGGAAAGTAGGGAAGAAGGGGTGAAAAGCGTTTAGCGAGTATTTACGTGGCGAAAGTTTGGTAGCGAAACGATTAAAAGGAGGTCTTTTCTCGTGGCTCGAGTCCGAGCACGTAAAGAGAGCGAACGAACGAACGAACGAAGACGAGGAATAGATTCCTGAGGGATATCCTAAAGGGGCGGCGGAGTGGCGGAGCCACCGAAACAAGGGTGAGCCAGTCCCTGAGTCCTTGAGCCACGGATACACTCGTGCCACAATGAGGGAACGGTACTCAGCCACTGAATCAACCCCTCGGTGCCCTCTTGCTCCCTTCCACGGGTTCCCTCTCGTCCGGCAACACCCTCTCGCTCTCCTCTGCTTCTTCAACACTACGTGATTATTTCAAAAAGCTGCAAGCCAAGAGACGAGTCATTCTCTCTTTCTCTTTCGCGCGTATTCCATCCTTGGTCGACTACCTTTCCTCTCACGTTTCTCTTTCACGGTGCGTGGAAACGTGCTCGCGCGCACGCCCAAGCAACCATCTACCCCTGCAATCTCTCGAGTGAAAAGGACGAAACTCCTCCACGTCCCTCTCACTGCCTACTATCGGCCTCGTAGGGGTAGGTCGCTTTACGCGGTACCTCGTTTACCTTCTTAAACGCGCGGAACAACGATCTCCCGGTTTTGGATATATTTAAAGAGGGGTTAGCGAAAACCTCGCGGATGGATGGCTTTCATGAAATTCGCTTCGTCAACGTGTTCGTTTCAGACGCGTAATTCACGTTCGGATATGTGGAACGACAGCTACTAGAATATTAAATAACGCTCGGATATCGGGGATCTTTCGGAGGATGTCGCGAACCGGAATACATCATCTGCGGTGAATTTCGAATACGAAAATAGACGTTGACCTGTTTCCAAAACCGAGCTCTTTCGTTAATAGTTAAGCACTCAAATTACTCCATTTCTGCCGATCACTTTGATCAAACTTAAATCTATTTATTTTACTCGAATATTTTCGCCGTTTCTCGTATATTCTAAAATTGGTTTTCCAACGAGCAACTCCGTTTACGACGTCTCGAAAATTCTTTCTCGCGGAACGCTTGCAGAGTGGTTGGGGGTAAATCAAGCTTGCGGTAAATTGAAATTTCGCCCCGATACGTCGACGCAATATCGCGACGACGCTGGCAACGGTGAAAGTGCATTTACATTCCGTTTCGACCGCCAAGCGTATATCTATAAGTTGTCGTGGTGGATTCCATAGAAACGGGTAACGTGTTTCTCCGTTTCTTCGTAGAAGACAGTTGCAGCGAATCTTGAGGCCGGCACGTGTGTGAGAAACGGCCGCCGGATCGGAGGAGGGATTATCATTAGATAAACGGCCACTGGTTCGAAAGTCGTCGCATTAATAACGCTCGCGAGACCGTCCGCGCTCTATAGTAGGTCTCTTCCTGCAGCCAGTGTCAATGTGACGTGTATCAAACGTTACGACACCGTGTTGACCTTAAATTAGACGCGCGAAACCGTTTGCGGCCGGAGCTCCCCTTTCAATTCCTCGAAACTTTTAGTTAGCAGCCGTTGTTACGTTGCGGCCAGACTCATCGGATATTCAACATTGATTCTATCAAAGTAGCAACGCGTTAATTATCCGCTTGTTCTTTTCCCTCCTTTTCTTCTTTTAAACGGATAACGAGAGAAAACGAATTTCTTGTTCATAGCCGTGTAGTACAGGTAGAATAGCGCGAGGAGAGCGCAATCGAGCAAATGGGAAAACCCACGCCCACTTTAATTACTGGCGTTCGCAGCGCGTAAGAAAAAAAAAAAAAGAAAAGAAAAGAATAAACTAGAGAAACTAGATTGGAGCAACGCGTCCAGAGTTTCATTAAGCGTGTTGCGTGGTGAAAACAGGTCGAAAAAATATTTTTCCCCGGCAACGCGCTTAATTACTCCTCCCCGTGTTAGCGCGATCGCCTTTAAGCCCGAGAACGTACTCTTTAACGTCGTGTCGCCTTTCTTACAATGGCTGGAGTGGAAATTCTCCGGAGAAACTGACGACGTCGCGATACCGCCCAGTGAAAAGTTTCCCGGCCATTTGTCGGCGCAGTTTAACGAGTTCGAATTGGCGGCGAGTAACGACAGCCAGTTTCACGGTGACGAAGTTCGGGCCGCGTGCACGTTTCAGACGACCCGCTAGCACTCAGGAAACTCGCTTAAACGTATTACGGGGGCAGGGCGCGAGTCCGCTCGAAAGCGATAAGCACTGGCGTCGAATGCTTTCGGGATAAATTGCTTTCGACCGAGCAAATTCGTGTGGAACGAATGAAAATTGGTAACTGGGGACCGGGACTAGAATGAAAACGGAAAGAACGATCGATTCTGATTCCCGCGCACCAACCAGCGTAGGTATGGGCCGATTAGAAAAAATTGATCCGTTCGTTTTACGAGTTCGTTGGATGGAAGAATTTCTTTTCGACGATGGATAAGCGTAAAGCTCGATTAGTACACGTTAGTATCGATAAGTACGCAATCACGACGAGTCGAAGTATCTTTGATGATGAAAAGAACATTGAAATCACAGGTAATTACAGGAACGACAAAAAGAACGAATCGTTTTACCGATGTAGTTCAGGTACCTCAAGCAGCGTACCTTGTAATTATCTACTACCGTAATTGAGCCGTCGATACCAATGAATCGATCGGCCAAGGACAGGATAGAAATAATGAGGAAACACGGTCTGTTCAGCTGGCCAGGATTGCCGGCTGCACTACCGTCGCCGGCTTCACCGTCCGCGGTAATCGTTTCGCCGGAAACGCTGTCTAGACACAGCAGCAGCTCACCCTCCCGCGCTCACCGGCCACCCCAGTTCGCCCTGGCTCTACCATGCTCCTCGCAGCCGATTTCCGCGGTCTGCTATCCGGCACCGACCTTCCTCGATGTCGCCGAGGACCGGAAGTGGAAGAAGCTTGGATGGTAAGTTCTCTATTTACGTTCCTTTCTTTCTCGCTCTCCACCGAATCGAATTGGATTGTTTGTTCTCTTACGTAGTGAGCTTCGATATATTCAAACCGATATAGATACCGACTATCGAATCATATAGTTCTATAGGATTATACGGCTCCATGGTCCGATTATAGGGAAAGACAGGGTATATGTATCAGCCATCAATTTATAGCAAGTTGACTTATAATTTTATAGCTCTAATCTTTTAATCGATAGTATTTTTGATACGATGCAGTTATTGCTCTTTTTGGTTGTATTTGGTATATTTTGTCTAAGGACTGAAAACGCAATACCGGCTTTATGTTTTATCGCGATGTTGCACTGAATCGATTTCCATACCTTCATAGCTATCAATTTAAAAATAAAAATTCAGGATGTTCAGCGAAATAACGAAGCAACGAAAGGAACATTTATGTATGAATATAACACCGTAGTAATTGATAAACTTTTCTACTATGATTCTCCTGCGAATTTTATTTCTACCAAAAGAAGAAAAAAGTAAAAGATATTAAAATTGCGAATAATTCGATAACGAAGAGCAGTAGAACGAATAGAATAGAATATGGAATAGGATATAAAATACAGAATGAGAAAGACGTTACAATTTCTTTGCTGAGAGGTATTGCAAATTTATAACCATCAACGAGTCGTTCTATATCGAGAACTCTCAGGTGCCTATATCGAAAATCAGTGGAATGTAATGTCATGGCGTGGAAAAGTTGAACGTGCACGATTAAATCGGGTCATATTCGCAGTTGAACGTTTCAAGCGTCCCATTAGCGCTTGTGCACCGATCGACCAAAAGATTTCATCTTGACTGATTCCAATTCCAAACGAATTAACACGAAGGGGGAGAATATATGCCGGTCACCACGGAAATTTCACGTGATCCTCGGGGTTATCCTGACCGACGTCTGCACCGCAATTACCGGTACTTTATGAATCAAACACACATACACACGGTCGAGCACACGATTACTCGTAATTGAGCCAATTCTTACGGGGGTGGATGTATTTGCGGCCGATGGTATCTCCACTGACGCTTCCCGACGTTGCATTCCGGGGCCTCGACGTTTCCTTTTCGTCTGGCTAACGTTCATTTCGCTTGCGTTTTTTCAGTCGATCGAGCTACAAGCCTAAACCGAAGGAAAAAGAATTTTCTCGTATTCGATTTTCTGTACACGCGCGATAGGTACGCATTTCGAAAGATGAACGACGATATCCGTAATCTTGGTGGAACGCTCGAAGTCGAAGAAAGTAATCGCGACAACAGGTAGGGCCGGAAATAATCCAATTTCCCCGGTGGAGAGAAATCCAATGCGTGGGCACACTCGTTCAAGCACAATTTCCGTTTGTTGCACAGTGACGCCCTGGCAACGACTTTTAGCGCTCTTTACGGAAAGCTGCTGGTCGTCATGGGAATCGCTTTTCCCATGGCTGAAGTAATATCCACCTACATACCGCCATCGTTCTACGAAGGATTCTACCTTTACCTCTACTTCGGCAGTATGATATTTCTCGTCTACATGTACGCCACGTTGCTTCGCGACGGCAAATCCAAGTCAAGTAAGTCGATCGCTGTGATCGCACGAAATTCTTTCTTCTCCGTCTTTTCTTTCTTTTTCTTTTTTTTTTCGTTGTTTTTTTCTTTATATCGACGACCAGGGATATAAACGAGGTCGAATGAACACGATCCACTTGACGTTTCAGGAAGGTCCGCTACGAGTTGTTTTACGAGTAGGTAATTTCTTTCTACACAAGACTGTTATGACATGAACATAGGTCACATTACGCTAACTTAGGCGCTTGCCTATCGATTTGTCAAAAACAGCCTGCTTCTTACAAAATTAATCCTTTGCTCGTTGTGTGCATTGCGAATCCCTTCACACGAACCCTCGCAGAACTTTAATTACGCCATCAGCTGCGACCTCGTAACTTCATACTAAACAATTAAACGATACAATAGCTAAAAACAGTATCGGCATATCGTTGTATCGATTACATACCAATTGATTAAATCCAAGTATATTACATTTATTTCCTACTATTTAGTAGTATTTTCATACGATTACACAAATTTGACGCTATGAAAATAAAATATATAGAACTTGATAAAGAAACGCTTCATTGGAAAATAATTAAGCATGCGCCAATGATTTCTGTAGTCACTCGACATTTCTATCCAAACGGAAAATGAAAAATAAGCGAATCGGAAGAATGTCAGAGTGCAGCGTTAAAGGGTCAAAGTATCATTGCGTGGCAATGGCGAGTCGGGCATCTCGCGCGCTAGCTTTCAACCCGCTTCCGACGACGGGAAGCAGCGAGCTGAGCCCCGTTAAAATCGCATTAATCTTAACCGACCGATTACCATAAATTTGCATGAGAAGAGAAACGAAAGGACGTGTGCGACCTGGACTCGTCGCGATCGTCGAGCGGCGCCGGTGGCGACAGCGATGTTGCGGACACCACGTGTCCGCACGTGACTGCTATCAAACCAGCTCAACACTACGGAAGCTTTTATCTACGAATGGGTGCGGTGGCGTTCGGTATCGGCTCGATGATCTACTCGGGACTGGAATTTGGTCAGTACTTCGAGCTGGAGCAGAACACCAAGTGCCACAACATCATGCTCGCCCTCACGCCGGCCACTAGGATGGCGTTCATCTTCATACAAATGTACTTTATATTTCTGAACAACGAGGTGAGTATATTTTTACAGATATCGAAATTATATTCAGGACTAACCCTCGTTTCACTGATCACCATGCGATCGACAGCTGATCCTGTATGAAAATATATCATACGAGATGTTCTATTTTTCACCGTTTCGTTTATCTTCAAGGAATCGCAAAAAAAGATGCCTTTACGTCCATAACAGTTAGAAAATTAAAATCATTTACGATGACAAATTGTCAATTTTACAATGCCATATAGAGGAAAGCTGCTGGTCGTCATTTACAATGTCTATAAAGGTTGTACTACGTATATCGTGTTAGAGAAAGGAGACGAATTGGAAAATTGAACGTTTCGTATGTTGGCATCTAGCGTGTTGTTATGGAGAAACGTAAATGTACGGTGGCTGGATCGATGGCAAACAAAATCGTGGCCCATCTTTCAAGCGTTAAGAGGGGATAAGGGAATCGCAGCGGTTCGGTTCGTCGTTTTTCACGCAAAGATATTGCGTAAAAGGGGATGGTTAACTGAAAATCAGCAGGGGGATCACTGAGTAGGTGATGGGACTAAAAATAGAAGCGGCATCGATGATGCAGAGATCGGTGCGCGGCACGTAATGAAAGAGCAAAAGCGTCGATGCAAAACGAGAAGCTTGTCTAGAAAGGCTAATGAAACGGAAGGGTGAACAACCCTGAAACTAATACTGAAACACGAGTTGTCCTACCCTGGCCGGCTTTGCTCTTTCCTTTGCCTCGCGACAGATGAATATTTCTCGCCACACTCGACCGCTTTTCATCGAAACTTTCCGTGGAGGTTTCTCGATCGAGAGAATTCCCATCGTTCAATTATCGCCGATCGTTTAACATCCCCCTAAATACGGTTTGAGTCTTTTACAACGAGAGAAATCTGGTTAATAATTATCGAATTATCCTTATCGAACGTCTGACCGATACGTTTGCGATTCCCTAGTTCTGCTTCAAAGATTATTTCTCTTTCCTTAATTAGATGTACAAAGGAAACTCTCGTTCCTTTCTACGAATCGCTGATGATGTTAATCCGTGTTCTCTTTGACAGCAAATGAAAGTTTATCGTCATCGGGTGGTTGCGCGTTTCGGGCTGATGCACATGATTGGAACGAATCTGTCGGTCTGGCTGAGCGTCCTTGTACAGGAAACGAAACACGAGATATTGACGTTCTACAATCCGGAGAACAACTCGTTAAAGATCTCCCACAGATTAGGTACGATCCATAGCTGCGTACGGGCAGTAGCTCGCAAACCCTAGTGATAACCTTTTACGCGTATTGTACGAAACATTTTGAAATTTCACTAGCACTGTAATGAGAGTCGATACAGTTTAAAATTAAGATTACGCTATACTTAGAAGCTATAAGATATTTAATGAGAATGTATTTTATTGCATAGAGATGACAAAATTATTTAAACGACCAATCGTTATTCAGCGGGGCCGTCTGTGACGCTTATTATACGCTGAGGATGATTAATCATGCTGTAGATATACGTTTGAGCTAACTATTTTGTAATTTCTACATTTCCAGACTGATATCTGATAACAACTTGGCAGATGAAATTTTAATGCGTTTTACATAACGCATACGATACATACATAAAAGATTCCTATTAAAAAATATTCGAGTATCTTCGTTCGTCACTGTATATGTACATGTGTCTGGATAATTATGTCGTCTCTCGAGTACAACGAAACCCCTAATGATATCGAGCGGAGAATCAAGTTGAAATTAAATTAGGTTCGAAGGCCAATCTTAATCTTGGGGGACATAATCACTACCACCATGGCGAGCACCTGAGGCTACCGAGAGGTCTGAAAGGGCCGCATCACATGTTCGAGTGTCGTCGAACCAACATAATGGGATCGTTAGTCCAGGACGCCAGCCCGTTTCTATTTCCTTGCACGATCGAGTACAGCTTAATTTGTGCTGCGATTCTATACGTAATGTGGAAAAATATATCGAAGGCGGCGTTTTCTCAGCCTAAAACACCTCCTGGGTCCCGGCATCATGCTCATGCTTACAGGTAAATCGTTGAACACAATTGAAGACCATAATAATTATAAATATACTTCGATGCGTTAGTCACGCGTACAAGCTCTGACTTTACTTTCAATTTCACAGGAGATCGCCGCATCACTACAGCGTGGATTGTGCCCGGGCGCACAAAGGTCTGTTCGTGGGCATCTTGATCCTGGTGCTAACGATCATCTCGCTAATTTTATTCTTCGTGTTAATATCGCGTCCAGAATTGGTCAGCTTCGCCGTCACCGAAGTGAACGTCTGCGAGTTAACGTTATACGGAATGTCGACGTTGGCCACGCTGATAGGGATGTTCCAGATGCGAAAGCTCCGTTACGACGGCACCCGAAACCTAGAACTGGACAACATTCTTCTAGTAGCCGCGCAGACGGGCATGTTCATTTATTCAACGTTCACGATCATCGGCGCCCAATTTACTCTGGCCAAGCACACGATCTTGGTGCTTATTACGGCGTTGGCGAGCGTTGTGCAGACTACGTTTCAAACCATCTTCATTTTGGACGCGTCAAGGAGATCTGTCGTCACTGCGAAACAAATAAGGAGGAAACCGGGTAGAGAGATCGTGACGTTTCTACTGGTGACGAATCTGGCGATGTGGGCGATTAACACGTTGGAAAAATCGCGAGCGGAATCGCACCCGGTGCAATTGCATTTCTACGGCCTGTGGGCGTGGACGATCATCACGCACGTCTCGATGCCTCTGGCGATCTTCTATAGGTTCCACAGCACCGTCTGTCTGTGCGAGGTTTGGAAAAGGGCGTACAAGGTGAAACCAACCTACATGTGACGTAAGGGGTCTCGTGAGGTCGTGTACAAGACCACGGCTCCTCAACGACCGAAAACCTTGCCGGGCAGGCTGGATGCCATCGCGGAGAACGATCCAATTTACTTCATGTAATCGCGGAGAAAAGTCTCTTTGTGAGCTACGTGGTCCAAGGTCGACGTCCTTTTACCTCTTCTTCGTCAAATCCTCGTCCTACGTCCCTGAGGTGTTGCAAAAAGCTGTCGATACAATTTACCAAGTTCACTATGTTAGTCGAGTATGCGTTTCGAGGCGTTATGCGTTGTTTTAGGTTGATTTAGACACGTTATACGTTAACGATTTCACGTTAGTAACGCGTTAAAACGAAGCTCGACGAACCGTAGAGGAGAAAGTGGTTGGCAGCCGCGTTTGTTTTCGATCGTCGAGAAGTTGTGTTATTTATTATCGTTTAGATAATTGTAAGAAGCTTTTATCTCGAATCGTCGTCGCGTTAAAACGAATCACGATGTATATACGCAGTTCGTACGTGACGAGATTCAGGAACGAACTGCGAACGAACGCGCAGACATTTTGAAATCTTTTAATGGTAATCGATTTAAGGGAAACAAGTAAAAGAGTAGGAAAGAATGGAGGCACGATTAACGACGCACAATTTTTACCGAGGTTAGATGTTAGACGATTAGTCGCTTAGAATCGTCGAAGCAACGACTGTTCCTTCGATTTTCTCGGGAACAATGAGATTTTTGTTCGATAAGTAAGCGTTAAGACGATTTTCTACCGATCAAAATAGCGAATGAGAGAAAAGAGAGAAAGGCAGCGAGTGTGTGTATACGAAAGAATGAGGAAAGAAAGAAAGGTCTTTTTTCTTTGATCGTAAACGTTCGTAAGACTGAATTCTAAGCAACCTTAGGACGATGGTTAAGGTGATAGAAGAACGATTACGTTTCTGATGCAAGTCGACCAAAATCCGCGTTAACCCAGAGAACCCCTGATCGATCTGTCCTTCGATGTTACTCGAATACTCTCACGGATATCCGTCTTCCACGTAGTACAAAGCTGCAACTTAACATAATGTCCCTGGTTATTCGAATGAATAATTCAAAGAGAGAGAGAGAGAGAGAGAGAGAGAAAGAGAGAGAGAGAGAGAGAGAGAGAGAGAAAGAAACTAAAAAAATAATCCAACGATCGAGAGAAACAGATTACCTATAGCGAAGTCCTGACTGAACAACTCGAATAGTTTTTTATATTGTTACTACGTAGATGCTCTCGTCGTAATTTTTTTACTCGAAGGGAAAGTGGGTTTGAAGTAATAAGTATAAAAGTCCAACGCGTCTGTCACGATAGTTGTACAAAGTAAATGTATAGTCTGTTTCTCACGATTTTATGCGGCAACGTCTCGCGATCGATCGATCGTGCGCATTTCGAGGAAACGGAAGCCTCGAGAGTCGAGCGTGCGAGCACACAACGTTTATCCTATACAAGTCCACTTGAATCACATCGAAATTGCAAGCCTTCAACGGTTCCTCGCATGGCGTTGCACGTTAGTCACGAATCTAAATTCGAAATATCGGTTTGTAGAGAGAAACGCGGTGAGAACGAGCGAGAGGAAGAGGGAGGTCTCAGTTTTAAACATAGCACCGAATCGATGCTTCGTGCGTTACTTCCAACCGTTTCAAAAAAAGAAAACGAAAAAAAAAAGACAAAAGAAAAAAGAAAGAAAGATAGGTACGTTTATAAAAAAGAAATTCACGAGATTGTTGAACGGTGGCAATAATGCAAAAGCATCGTCCCGTAGATTCCCATAGATTTATCACGCGAAGTGATAGAAAGAAAATGTTAAGATAAAAAAAGAAAAAGAGGAGATAAGATGAAGATAACGTTCGAAGGAGGAACAGAGTACAATGGCGAATCATATCATTAAGCCTTAATCCGTCGAGTGTGCTGTCCAATCTCTGAATAATTAAAAAAGGAAAAAGGGGTATCGAAGAATCGCGATCGACCGCAACCTTGAAAGAATTAGCCGAGACGACCTGCTCGAGTGTGTTTCATACATTTTCTGCTCAACGGATGGTTCCACGAGGAGAGACCGAATGAGAGAGTCGTACCGATCTAATCGATCGGTGTACGATACTATTGTTCCGCGAGAATGCCCGTATGCGTTTGTTTTACCGCGTGTTGTGTGAGACGACTGCGTGACGATATGTGCGTGTGTCCCTTGGGAACAACTCGACGAGAAAAAGAATGGTCAGGAGAGAGATAAAGAGGAAACGGGAAAGCGTCGAAAGCGTAAAACGTTCGGTAGAGACATTTTTAGTAGTTAAACGCGTGTTTGTCGTGCGATAGGCGCTTTTTTTTTATTCTTCGTCGATAAACGATCACACTTTCAGCGATACTGGAAATCTAAGCTGCATAGTTGAACCGGTTGATTCTTTTGTAAGATGTAAAAATTCGACTGTGAGGCGGCTGTAAATACGAGGTTTCAAGGAGAAAGAAAAGAAGAGAACGTAAGAAGGATAAGCGAAGAGAAAAGATAAGAAAATGGATCCTCTCGGTGTTTAGAGCTAGTTGTGTCGACATGTTTCTTCCTATATTATATATAATATATACACATATATATACAAATATAAATATATTTATTATTGCGTTGTTCTATTATAATATTTATTGTATTATCAGATATAGGATTTACGCGCGACACGTTACGTTTATTGATCGGGGCTCGTGTCGAGATTCATCTCCCATCGCTTTCTCACTTTGTCCTTTCTTTTCTTCCTCCCTTTCTATTTACTCTTCTTCTTCTCCTCTTTCTTCGTCTTTCGCATCGTTGTCATTCGCAAAGATTGAAAAAAGCTTGTCAATTTCTATTCCATTTAAGTCAATCCACGTGCGTAACGCTCTTGATATCGTGTTGAAAACGGCACAAGCGATCTCGGCACGAGTCTTAACCGAAAATCGAGATGAATTACGAAACGAAAATCGGAGGTAAGTCACGATGTGCGCAATTCGAAATTCGAGCAAGGGTGAACGAGGGAAAACGATACCCTTCTATGTCACGTCTCTAAACTGTACTTTTTCTATGTCCGCATATTCTAGTTCCTACGCAATGTTTGTACTCTTATACCCTTTGTACTATTTGTACCTTACGAATTGCAATACACTCGTCCGCAATAATAATTTACTTTCGTTCTTTGCCACCAAGCGTCTATCGTCCTGTCGCTATTAAAATATTTCTCGAATATGCACGTACTTCGAATAATGAATCCAAGATCCGTATCCATCTACTCTGCATTTGTAACAATCAGCAAAATTACTAAGACGTCACGAACGTAATATTCAGATGAATATTTTTTCTTCGATGCTTCTTTCGCTGATGCAGGCGGTTCTATCTGCAAGTCGTTCCACGCACATTGAACAGCACAGTGTCGCGAGTCTAGGAGGCCGAGCGTCGACCTAAATACCTACGACTATGCTCTCGATTTCAGAGTCCGTGATCTCTCGACGTTGAGATAGTCCTGTCACGAAGCCGCCACGGTCATTCCACTAGAACAGGCTAAACTAAATCAAAAAAGAGGAAAATCGAATCATGACGCGACTTTCACCGAGCAAAATGCATCTAAATCGAGCATTCTCGGCCATGATTTCTCGTCTATGCTATCCTCGAGTGCACAAATGTTCGTATAGTATTTACGCAGTTATGTTCGCGTGCGGAACTGTTATAAAACAATCTTTTGCATAGGAAATCGAAATTTTCTAAATACGAGAATGTATTCGCGTGTAAAGAAGTATGATAGCGCGAAGCTTTTTAATTAATTTCTCTTTAATCACGCTCGTTTGTCGCGGCTATGTAAAATGAACAAGGTCAGTCGGCGAAACGGCTTCAGTTAACGTGCGTATATCGATGCATCCTTCGTGTACACTGGATGCAACTGGTTTCCGTGTTACGTGCGTGGTCTTTTAATAAGGAAGTCGCCTTAATTGTTCATAAGGTGAGTATAACTTTGTCTCCGTCATCTAGACTTCTAATCTGTTCTCATCTACTTGTAACTCCGTCAACTTCGCAGTTGCCCAAAATCTTGTGTAAGATCGTTGAAGTTTCGAGACGAAGCACTTAGTACACCTTTGCGTCCCCATTTGCTTAATTATGCAATTAATGGAAAGTTTCAGCGAAGCTAGTACGATGTGCAGGACCATATGCATAGTTGCATCGAAGTCTCATAATGCAAACCACTGCGGCCTTGTCGCGTAACGTAATGAGCAATCGTATTATGTCAATTTGTACGAATCGAATGAGATTGCGTGGAAAATATTACATAATCGCGTAATTCTACGTGTACAAATGAATTTCTTCTTTTTCTTCTTTCTTTTTTTTTTTCTTAGTATACATGAGATTAGAATTTGAAGAATATTAAGTATGTGAGATCAGAGTAGAAGGAAAAGATTTCGAAGAACAGAAGAACAAATATACCGAAATACTATATAGTATTTTCAATTCCTTACAAACAATATAAATCTATTTATAGTAGATTTAAATACCATTTTATATTTCTCAGATACAATACAGTGCTTTAAACTCTATGTATACTGTCATTTATTGGAGTTTATTGGAAAACTGACAAATTTTAGTTTTATCTTTAACGTTACAGTTTACATTCTAAGATATACATGATGCTGGCGAAATAAAATTTTATGATAAAATGATAAAAAAATAAAATCACTGAAAAGCATTTGAATTCGTATGAAACGTCGATAGATACCTTGATAGTTATAACGCTGTGAATTAAAAGTGAAGAACGGTGTTCGATTAATAATTCTCCGCTTTTAAGTACTATCTTTTATACATACGTATGTAGCAAGTAGTCATTCAGAAGCCTGGCGCCATAATGTTTATAGCACGATCGTTCATGGTGTTAATCTATCGCAGAACCATCCAGTAACCTCATTAAACATCTTGCATCCTCGCTATCCGCGATAGATTGCAAATTGCGTGCAGCGTGCATACTATTCGCGAGCACGTTCATGAAACACGGTTCTTATCAGCATTCGTACCAGACAGAAAATTCTTGCGAATAATCGAACGTTTTTATAGGTCTCGAGAACTGATCGTGAGTTTGTTACAAGAAAATCGTGCAGTGATCATAAAATGTTTGCGAAGATCCGGTGATCACTGTTCGTCATCATGTCCGATGGTAAGTATGCGTCTTTACACACTCGCTGTATTTTTTTTCCTTCGTTTTCTTTCTTGCAACAAAGATACAACAATTAAGCAATATATATTCTTTATTACAAATATCTCGTAAACCATTGAACATTCGGTGAATCAACTGAACGAAAATAATATATTTTTCATCTTCTTGATTTAACAAATGACACTCGTCCTGCCGGGATTAAGTTAAAGGATCAGGTGAATTCGCAAATTGATCTGCACACGCAGGAGAATTAACACGGACGATAGAGTGGGATCGGAGGGAAGGCGACTGGGCGTTGAATAAAATCGGAGACACATCTTAAAACACAGCACGCATGCAGCTCATTTTTATCGCGGCACGCGTGTGAGAAGGGTAAGAGAGCGTTGCACAAGAGAGCGTGCGAACACAACGACTCTTTACACGCCTGCAATAATGTTCACTCGCAAGTGGATCGTTGGTGTGTGCCTTGCTCTCTTTGCTCGTTGTTCGCTCCTTCGCCCTTCTAGATATTTTTGATTTTCGATAGCAAACAGCAAATAATAAATAACGGTATTAATAGCGTTCACGATAGTAGCTACGTTTGTTTCGATGGACTTAACCTACATCGACAAGTATCCATACATCGGTATTATATTTTAAACGAATCAAATTTTAAATGCTCGAACGAAGGAACGAAATTATACAGGAAACGAGTAGTGGGATTCCTCTTAATGATACAGGTTGTGTAAAAAAGAAATCAGGACGATCGTCTCTCATGGTAAGCACGAAGCATCTGGTGAAGCGCGATAGAGGAAACCCTCGACGAGCCAAACATTCTGGTGGCTGATCGTTCGTGAGCCGGTCCCCGTAATTAAGGGCTAAATTCAACCCTCCTGGGCGTTGTCGGGCTCCCGTCGCTTCGACGAGGGTGTACTTTAGCCGCCAAACTCTTCGTAATACGCTCTCGTATCCATCGTTACTGGAGCCCGTTTAAATCGTAATGGAAAAAATCAATACCCAGGAAAGAATATCCGAGTCCTTTGAAATCTGTACCTACAGTCGAAAACCGAAGCTAGTCGGTTTACATCTATGAACGGAAAAAGCGATTTTTCCATCGCTCTTGTACAGTGTCCGGTAATTTACGACCGTGCAGCATCGAAATGCCACTAGAACACGTAGAAATTCGATCGCCGACTATACGCACCCTTTCAACTGTTTTTCCAATTTACAATTCGACATCGACAAAGGTAGAACGCTTTAACCAAGTGTTATTCAGGAATTTCAAAATTGTTGTTAATCGTGAGAGCCAAACCAGCTGAAATAAAATTCGATAAAATCGAGCAGACCAGGGGTTAAAAATTCGATACGGGCAGCCGAAGTGGTAAACGACGTCCAAATAATCGCACCCTATAGCGCGAGAAACGAATTTCCGACACACGGCAGAGACGAGAGACTCAGGGAGCGTCCTCGAAGTTCTCTGGCTCCGATTAATCCGTTGCTCTGGCCACTCGAGGCCGCCCTCCGACGCAATTGCATCGCTGGAAGATAAAGAGCCACCGGTCGCATTCATTCTGCCGCTAGACTCCAACTGCTCGCGAGGAGGAGGTTCCAGGTCGGTCGCGATGCTCCACGCGATACAGAAAGTTTCGCTGTGCGCGACAAAGAATAGCGACGGATGGTCGACGATAAAAGCGGGAGGTAGAGTCTCGTCGACAACCGGTGCGATTCGATACAGAGAACCGAGTGTACAGAGTAGAGGGAAAGTAAGAGAGAAAGCGGGAGAGAGAGAGAGAGAGAGAAATAGAGAGTTGCAGGGTGAGCGGGCTAGGTACATCGTCGGGGGACAGGCAAGCGTCACGGAGTGGAAAAGCGTATCGCGGGGGTTAAGGTATTGATCGTGCTTCCCCATCGTGCATGGGGGTGGCTTCGCGCACGGCGACCCCCATAACCGTTGCGTCGCCATTACAGCGCCATGGATAGTACGGGGACGAAGCGGCAGCGACAGTAAAAGCGACCGAACTTCTCCAGCTACGAACCGTAACACGCAGAAAGGCTCCGAAGGGGGAGCGTTTCCCGTTGATGGGAAAAAGACGGGTTACGAGGGGGTGTGACGAGGACGGTGACCAACCGTAAGCTTGCTTGGACAGGGACGCGAGAGGTGAATGAAAGAGGAAAAAGGAGAGAAAAGACGGACGTGGAAGAGAGAAAAACAGAGAGAGTGAGAGAGTGCGAAAGAGAAAGAGAAAGAGAGAGAGAGAGAAGCAGCGTAGAAGTCGCGTGCATGGACAGAAAGGTCTGTGTGGTTCGCGGCGAAGCTTCCGGGCACAGCGCAAGCTCCGAACACCTTGTTTACATTCGACGAATGCCGCAGAGGAAGCACGTTGCTCGAGGAAAATAACCGAACAGTTGGTGAGATCGTGGCAGCGTGTCGCTGGACATAGTACTACCGTTCCATTCGGCCGACGACGAGAAGG